ATAACTGAGTGTATTATTTGTGGATGTGTATCCAAGCCCACTATGGTTCTCCAAACCCATCATTTTTATTCTCTTTTCCCCCTTTACGTTTATTTACAATCAACTGAATATTACACATTTGGCATAAAGACCACGTTACGCAGATACTGATGTACGTCAAAGAATCAAAGGTTTTGCAGTTTGTACAACTTGTTTGCTGAATGAGACTGTACCTGAAAATGGTTAGTATACATTGGAAAGGAGACTAACACCCTTTTGATTGTACTGTACATATGGGTCAAGTAGTAGTACGAGAATAGATACAGCTGCGTTTCAAACGTTCCATGATAGGACTACTTTCTCATTCGGGAAGTGGCACTGCAATCTCTATGTAATCCAAATCTGGTTTAGTGTTCTGGGCACCACTAGCGTTTCTATCACATGACGTGAGATACATGATTGGTGTTGGGCCAGTGCCCTAACGTGTCCACAGAGCTAAGCGAGCGCACCTCGATTTTCCTGGCAGCCAAAGGAAACATTTCAGCCGACCGACTGCTATCGTCGACGTTGAACGCTCACCCAACGACACCGCCCGTCACCTTTTACGAATCCCTCCCTCGACAACAGGTGCATTCGGCGTCCATAATGTCTGACCACGGGGAAGTCGAGGTCGAAAACACTGCGGCCTTCCAGGTCCTCCCCAAGGAGGCTGTCGCGGAGATGGGAACCGTGAAGCTCTTCAACAAGTGGAGCTACGAGGATGTTGAGATCAGGGACATTTCCTTGACGTAGGTGCTTCCCAATTCTTTGCGATTTTCTGTGCTACGATAATACCGCGTCCGTACAAGCGTCGCCTGGTTCAATTTGGGATGGGAAATGATGCGACAATCAGGGGGAGGAATAAACTGAGGGAAAGAGATGTGGAATAGGATGCACATACGGAATGGAATTTGCTGACTCGAATCTACGCACATAGCGACTACATCCAGATTCGTAACCCCGTCTACCTTCCTCACTCCGCCGGTCGTTATGCCGCCAAGCGTTTCCGCAAGGCTCAGTGCCCCATCATTGAGCGTCTGACCAACTCGCTCATGATGAACGGCCGCAACAACGGCAAGAAGCTCATGGCTGTGCGCATCGTTGCTCACGCTTTCGAGATCGTACGTGCATCTTTGATGGTGGACTAGCCGATACCTCAGACACCAGAAACTAACAACTACCGCAGATCCACATCATGACCGACCAGAACCCCCTCCAGGTCGCCGTTGATGCCATTGTCAACTGCGGTCCCCGTGAAGACAGCACCCGTATCGGTTCCGCCGGTACCGTCCGTCGTCAGGCCGTTGATGTTTCTCCCCTCCGCCGTGTCAACCAGTCCATTGCCCTCTTGACCATCGGTGCCCGTGAGGCCTCTTTCCGTAACATCAAGAGCATTGCTGAGTGCCTCGCTGAAGAGCTTATCAACGCTGCCAAGGGAAGCTCGAACTCCTATGCCATCAAGAAGAAGGACGAGCTTGAGCGTGTTGCCAAGAGCAACCGGTAAAGGGATAATGTTGGGCGTATTCTCCGTTTGGTCCTGTTTCTATTTGTACTGGAGTGGACGGGGGGTTCTATAGGATTCAGTCGATTGGCATGCATCTGCGCGACTGTACATACCTCCAAACAGTCACTGGAGGGAGCAAAATCCAAAACGAGAATGGGACGGCTTTCTTCTATAGTAGCTGAGATGCGATCATGAAGACCTTGGGCTTTTAAGTCGGTACCTTTTATTTTTGTTCAACGAAAAAAAGAACTTTTCAAATTTCCATAGGTTGCTCCGTCTTGATGACGACCAACGTAATTTGTCTTAGCCGCAAGCCATAGGTCGCGGCTCAACTTTACCCTAACGCGTAGGTCTAAGGAACAAGAGTGCCTTTTAACCTAAATGTCTTAGACTATTGTTTTCAGTTGCTCTACAAGAGATAGACAGATCGTAGATGTCTTGCGCAGAGCGACTCTGCTCCAAACGTTTGTCGCTTATCGATAGGCTGGCCCGATCCCGTGGAGAGAAAAAAAGTTCGGATCTGTTATCAAACGTGAGCACTACCACCTCACCCCCCCCCCCCCCCCCCCCCCCCCCAATTTCCCTCTCCTCAATTCTTCCACCACGTACTTTTGAGTGACTGGTGAAAATATTTTATCAAAATGGTAAAAAGGAAGTTGGGAGCCTTGGAAAAGGTCGAGGCCGACCTGTGAGTCCTTAACTGTCATCTCCGTCCGAATGTTGAAGATTTCTCTTGCCACTAACTCATCCTTCAGGCCCAATCTACAACATAAAATTCGAAGAGACCCAAAGTAAGTCAATCGCGGGCACTCAGAAATGGCTATAGCTATCAATAGTTTGCTAAAAATGCATTGTGTTGCAGATCTTACATTGAAGATTTTCGTGCTCAACATTATCAGTATGAGAGTCACCGAGAAATTTTCATGGCAGCACCGGCGTCGGCCACCGATACGGGCATTATCTCCTTGCGCGAGCTGATCGACTTTGTTGCTCACGTTGCCGACTGTTACCCAGACATTACCAAGGACTTTCCTCAGCAGCTCATGGACATCTTGACGCAGCATCATTTAGTCTTGGAACCGGAACTTCGAGAGAAGATCGTGGGGAGTCTAGTACTGCTCAAAAAGAAGGAGCTTCTTGACTCTGCAACGTATGTTAATATCATTCACAGACTGGGTTTATTCCGTTGCTGAATATTATGGCTGCAGATTACTCCAGACCTTGTTTCCTATTCTCATTACGACACCCAGCAAAACGTTACGAGCATTGATCTTCCAAAAGATTCTAATGGATCTTCGTACTTCGAACGCGAAGACAACAAACCACAAGCTTAACCGCACCATGCAGACTGTCCTTTATAACTTAGTGACATCAGATCGTGTCTCGTCCAAGGGTCTATGGGCCATCAAGCTCATTCGTGAATTATGGAAACGGCAAATCTGGTCCGATGCGAAAACTGTTGAAGTCATGAAGGAAGCTAGCTTATCGGAGAACGAGAAGGTCATTATCGGTGGTGTTCGTTTTTTCCTGGGTGGAGATCAGGAGCGTGAGGAAATGGAGGATGAGAGCAGTGACGAAGAGGCTATAGACCTTGGTAAGGTCAAACATCAGGTCGGTATCAACAAAAAGACCAGGAAGAAGTCTCGCGCTGTAGAGAAGGCGAAAGCGACTGTCAAGAGAAAGGAGCGCAAGAAGAACCAACCACACCCATTGAATTTCTCTGCTCTACATCTTCTACACGATCCCCAAGGCTTCGCGGAAACTTTGTTTTCCAAGCATCTGCAAAATTCCAAGTCCAAGCTCAATCTAGAGCAAAAGCTTCAGGTTCTGCAACTTGTCACTCGCCTTGTCGGATTGCATAAGCTGCATATAATGCAGCTCTACTCTTATTTCCAGAAATATCTCACTCCACGGCAACCTTCGGTGACTTCATTCTTGGCATCGCTAGCGCAAGCGTCGCATGATTTGGTTCCTCCAGATGTGCTTGAGCCGCTCATTCAGAAGATTGCGAATGAGTTCGTATCTGAAGCATCTTCATCATTGGTTGCTACCGCTGGTCTCAATGCCATCAGAGAGATTTGTGCGCGACAACCACTTGCAATGAATGAGACTTTACTACAAGATCTCGTTATGTATAGAAAGAGTAAGGATAAAGGCGTTGTGATGGCAGCCAGAGGTCTACTTGGTCTCTACAGAGACCTTAATCCGGAAATGCTGAAAAGACGTGACCGCGGCAAAGAGGCATCTATCGGTCTACGCTCAGGAGAAAAGCAGGAGAAGCGATTTGGACAAGAAGAGACCGGTGGCATCGAGGGCTTGGAGCTCCTCGAGCAGTGGAAGGAGGAAGAGCGCAAGAAGAGGAGGGCTGAAAAGGGGCTTCCCTCTGATGCAGAAGACGGTGAGGAAGAGGAGGATGAAGCAGCCGACTGGGAGGCTTGGAATGTGGAAGACGATGAGGACAGCGATGATTCCGGTGGCTGGATCGATGTCCAGAGTGATGCTGAAATCGATCTTAGCGACTCCGACGATGAGAAGGACGCACGCCCGTCCAAGAAGGCTAAGCAGGATGCCAATAATGAAGAAAATGTCAACTCTGAGACCGCGCAGGATAAGACAGAGGCCCAAAAGCCAAATATTGCAAACATCGCAACCACACGTATTCTTACGCCGGCCGACTTGGCGAAACTCCAAGAGTTACGTACTCAAGCAGCTGTTGACGCACTTATCCCAGGCGCCAAGGGTCGCCGTGGTCAGACTAACGCTTCTCGACACAAGGACGATCCTCTGACGGCTGAAGAGATTGAGGGTCTGGCTGCGCTGTCCGCCGGAAAAGCAACTCGTGAAGAACGAATTGCCCATGCTAAGGAAGGGAAGACTGATCGTGCTGAGCATAAGAGTATCACCGCAAAGAGAAAGGAGCGTAAGGTGGAACAGGGTAAGAGTACTACGAATAAGGAGAAGGCTCGCAGAAAGAATATCTTCATGACCCTCGGCAAAGCAAGAAACAAAGGAAAGAGGAGTCTTGTGGAAACTCGCAACGTATTGAAGGCCCATCAAGACCGACAGAAGCGTGGCGGCAGAAGAGGAAATAATGGCTAAGGCTCGGTGTATATATGTGGAGATAGCCCATGGTTTATACTATAGACTTGGTCGCTGTAATAGAGCAGTATCTTGTTCTTGAATTTACATTTGTGAGACTTTTTGTTGAGAATATATATGTCCTTGTATCCTTGTAGCAGATCTCATCCACTACCTGTCTGATACCTTTGATTCTTGATTGGGACATCGTTCTATTGTAACCTTTTTGACCAGTTTACGAATAAGCAATACCGAATAAAATTACTAGCCAGACTGCATAGTGCAGGACGCAGAAGTCGTTCCCTGATTCACAAATGAAACCCCTAGTCATGTCCCAAAGAAGATATATTGGATATGGGAGCGACACGTGCCTATGCGCGTCACCCGCGTCGCGTTTTCCGCCGCCCAGCCTCCCATTTCCGTCATCATCTTTTTCTCTTTTTCCATTCCAGTTGTCGACTTGTCATAGCCTGCATTCTCTCTTAAAATTTCTATTGCTCCCACACGTTAGCGTCTAAGTGGATCGGCCGCCTAGTGGACCTGATAAAAGAGCAAAAGAAAGGTTTAAAAGAAGAAAGAACAAAAATTTCTATAACCTATCGTCAACAATCAAAATACACCAAATATGCCTCCATCACTTCAGAACACGACTAAAGATAATGATCTGTCGTCCAAACGCAGACGATTCCAACCACCGATAACCTCCTTCTTCCCCGCAACAACAGAAACAGATCACGCTGGTAGCTCCAGTGCCCCTCACTTATCTTATACCCACTACTCCACCACCACATCCTCCCCCACCCCCGCCGTTGATGCAAAGATCCAAGCATCGCTACTTTCAGTCGGCATGCGCGTTCGCAAATCAGTCGCAGAAGGGTACAAAACCCGAATCCCCTATTCGAAGGACAAGCCAACTCTCTATACGAAAGAGACCCCGATCGTCGGAGGTCCAACAGCCTATCCCGAACTGGCACCCTTCTGCGGCATGATGAACTCAGCCGAATCTGCAACTCAACCCATGTCTCATACCTCCTCGCTGTCCTATAATAAAATGGATCAACTCATCACCGATGACGGAGATGCTTTCTCTCTCCCATCAAGTAGCCAGGAATCGATTGAGTCGGTTCAGACAACCGCACAGAAGCGATCATACGACTGTGCCGAAGATGATCTCGAAGATACGTTCGATGAAATGCCGACTCATGCGGAGACAAACTGGCAGAACTTCTTGGACATGGGTACAGGGATGGACCCGGTGCCTGGCCGTACTATCCTCACACCAAGTCTAGGGCAGCAGCGACGTCAGTTTGTTGCCATGAAGACACAAACGATTATTGATGTTGATGATTTTGAAGAACCCACCTTCCTTCGTAGGCGCGAAGAGGTTGATATGGATCTATCCTGAATGGAGCCAATGTGCCCGTGGTCTAGCTGGGAGGCTGGTCTATATCGTTTGCCATGTTGTCTCCTCTCACTGGACCGTCATTATGTGGACATGGTTGATTGCTGCGCTATCTGATTGCCCCTATGGGCACGGTATGATTATTGGATTGGCTCTAGTCATTCGCCCCGAATCCCTGAGCTTCTGGTTAAGTTGAGGTCGGCGTTCGAATGTTTCCTTCAATTATCTCCTCCTGTTATACGTTGAAACAACATTTGTTACTTTTGATTATCGTCAAGCGATTGTATATACATATACCCGCATTGGTTGGATGGTTATGCCAACTGTACCTTGTGACTATGAGATTTATATCAGAATAATATTACTTGTATGAATATTGAACAAATAATAACGGCATGACTGTGTTGCTTTGTCTTCTCTTTTTTGCATTGACAGTATATTCTAACTAGTTTACAGCCCTTGTCTTGGGTAGGGCAGATGATGCTAAGCATAACAATAAGGCGCACCAATATCATGGTCATGGCCATGAAAGGGTCCAAAATGATGAAGAGAGATGGCCCTTCATGATGAGTGAAATGTGTAGTTCCGAAAGAAGTAGACCTGGAAGAGAAAAGAGAGACAATGTGAACACAGAAAATAGCGCTCAAGCCGAACTCCATCATTTAGTCTGCAAATAATATTACAGTTCATCCTTGACATTGGCCTTTTGTTTCTGTTCGTTCTCCTGCTGTGGCTTCTCTTTCTGGGCCTTCTCGGACTTGGCCTTCTTGCCGTTCTTCTTCGACTGGTCCTTTCCGGACTTGGCTGCCGCTGCACCCATCTTTTCATAAATACGGTTCATGGTGCGCTCAAGCTCCTTGAGACGGATATCAAGCTCGGCCACAGTCAAAACTGCGTCATCAGATTCGGCCAGTTTCTCCTGAAGAGCAAATTGGGTTTCGAACCAAGTGTTGGTGGATTCAAATATTTGAGCCAAACTGGCAAGGTCAGATGGCTGGAAGATCGAGTACTTTGGACCCGTGGGTTTGGTCGTTGAGGTGGTTGAGGTGGTTTGGGATGCTGTGGACGAGTATGGGTCTTCATCCAGGTCTTCAAGAGGGTCGGCAGTTGAAGATGGCTCAATAGATGAAGTAGCTGATGAAGCTTCTTCACTAGTAGAGGATGCAGATAAAGACGAAGAGTACAGGTCTTCGTCCTGCTTGACTTGCTTCTCCATGAGGTCCAGGACAGTCTTAGCGTTCTTCAACACATCCTGTAAAAGCTCAATACGAGCTGGGCGAGCGGCGTTTTCTTGTTTTCTTTTAAGCGCAGGATTGACAATGTCCTTCAGGGCCTTGAGTCTTTCTTGGAATTCTGATGTCTTTGCATTTTCGCCGTCGTCATAAAGCCAATCACTAGCGGCAGCGGCCTTCTCCTGTAGGGCTGCCAACTGATCTGGTTTGATTACCTTGGCGAACTCCTCATCATCTATAAGGTCACGGCTTCGGTAGATGAACGACTCCAGCTCATTTAAAGCCTCTTCGCGTAGGACACGATCACGGTCCGAGGCATCAAACGCGGCCAAACGTGATTTTACACGGCCAAGCTCGGTCTTGGATAGGGCAGGAATCCCTAGAGGCGACGACGTGAAGCGAATGGGAATAGTCTCCACATTGGTCTGGGGTGAAGCCTTCTTGTTTTCTTTAGCAGAGGTGGTGGAAGTAGCGTCGCTGGCTGAGGTTGTCGAGGCTTGGGGCTCCTCAGGCTCCAGAGTGATCGACTCGCTAGGCTCTCCATCTTCGTTAAGAGGAGCTTGCTCCTTCTTAGAACCCAGGCCGAAGAAGCCTTTGACATCTTCAACAACACTTCCCGTCTTAGTGTTTTCCACTTCGCAACTCACGGCGCCACTGACAACCTCGGGAAGACCATCAACAGGGCTCAGCCGAATAGAGAACTTGGTGGTGATGTTTGCAGGCGAGCAGCCAAAGCTCTCCTTCAATTTGGTGACAGATGCCGTAAGATTTTGCGTCTGCACACCCAAGACTGGTGACTCAACCACATTGCCCTCCAAGGGAATTTGCTGGTAGAAACTGAACTCAAAATCTTCAAGGTTCTTCACCGTGACTTGCTTCTCAGGGCCAACTTGGGAAGTGGGAGTGAACAGCTTCTGCTGTCTCTCCCGAGATTCAGAAGGCCACTTTAGCAGGACGGGATAACCAGAGACGTCGTGGGCCCGGATATCCTTGACGCGGAAGCTAGGGCTGAGGGCAGCCCCCTTAAAGGCAGCACCGAAAACAGCAGCCTCGTCTGCGTTAACGCTGGTTCTAAGTTTGTTGGACGCTCCGCAAACCCGCTCCAGCTCCTTCTGGACAAATGGGGTACGGATAGCTCCACCGTGCAAGATGACAGAATCAATATCGTTCAACTGTAACCCAGCAGCCGCTAGAGCTTGCTCGAGAGGCTGTCCCACCCGGGCAATATGCTGTTCTGCAAGCCGCTCAAATGTAGAGCGGGTGATGCGGTACTTGAAATTGAAGTCTTCCTCATAGAGGTTTTCGAAAGAGGCTCCAGTTTCAGTGTTGGCGCTCAGAACCTGGCGAACTTTCTCAGCATCCTTCCAAAGCCGCGCCATGGTCTTGCCATGAGAAGCGATATCGGATGGTGCGACACGATCTTTCAATTTCTTGTCCTGGACCAAGTTCGTGATCATGTCCCCGACCACGAGATCATTCAGAGAATCCCCACCGAGGGTCTTATCCCAGCCTGTTCCTAGAACATGGACCTCCTGAATTGTCTTATTGAACTTTCCAACATCCTTCACCGAGCGACTTTGGAAACGAAGGACGGTGGCGGTTGTGGAACCCGCACCCATATCGTAGACGACATGATACTCGGGCTTCTGTCCGTTGGAAACACTGGGGAACTGACGACTGGTCGCATAATTCAATCCAACAGCGAGACCTTCACTAATAAATGCGTCGACATTCAGACCCGCTAATTCCGCCGCCAGCTCTAGACTTCTCTTCTCCTCAGACGTGTAAAAGGAGGGATACGTGATCACCACATCTCTGATATCTGAGCCTTTCCCGGCAAGATTGTCGGCGTTGACTTTGACCTGCTTCAACTGCATCGCCAAAAGCTCCTCAACAAGGAAGATATCCTTCCTTTCTTCCTCGCCAAGCCTATTGCTTCGAAATCCGACGGTTCCACGCCCAGCAGCGTTTTCTAGCTTCAACGCGGGATACCTGCTAAGGAATGTTTGAACCGCTTCGTTCCCATCATTGTTGAAGGGAACTCCCAGCAATGTTTTCAAATTTGCGTAGACATCGTCTGGATACCGTGCAGCGAGTGCCAGCGCGTCACCGCCGTAGAATCTCTCAGGGAACGGCGCATTATCTCTGGTGGGTTTGAATGCAACAGCAGCAGACTCCTTACGTTTCGAGTCTTTTGTTAGGACGATCTCCAATGGAATTCCCGGTTTCACAAGCACCGCTTTGAGATATTCTGTGCCCACATCAATACCGATCACTGCGGATCCAGCAGCAGCAGCGGGTGCGGGAAAGGCAAGGAAGAACAGCAAGAAAGGCACTATCAAGACGGAAAGAACCGGAGAGGATGTAAATAATCGCGGTGCAGCATGTCGTAGTTTGGGAGCCATTGTCTATATATCTGTTGTATTTAAATGGTCAATCACCCCACCTTTCAGTTGCTTGCATATGGAGCTCTTTACTTTGGAGATGTGAGTAGTTTCTCAAGTACAAACAAAACTATCTGACAGGTCTAGACAAATTTCTAGAATATGTGCGAATGGGTTTGGAGCAAATGCCGAAATGCACTCAAAAGTGCCGGTAGAGGCAAACTTGTGGTAATCTATAAGAACGAGTCAGCAAGGGAAGAAAGTCGGCTGGATTGGAAGTAGGGAAAGCGCCATACATGAATTTAAGTTAGTCAAGCCATCCAGAACGCGATCACGCACTGAACTACTGGCCACCTGGCAGTAAGCATGAGTAATAAGTTGTGATGCCGAAGTATCAAAGGGAAACTTTTGGAGAGGACACGTTTGGGGATCTAGGGATGCAAACATCCCCAAACTCGGTCGTGTTTGCACCTGTGGTCCCTGCAGATCACGGGCCCATAAGGATGACTTTACTTATAACCAGTAGGAGTATATCGTAGTAGAACTCTCTTTACATATTATCAAGGTGTATTTTTAGCATTTTAGCACAAATGAAATGTTCCATATGCTTTATGTTCAAGCCACTATTCGTCATCAAAATCCGAATCACTCATCCATCCGGTCTCGTAGGATTCTCTAATCTCCCCCAATCCATTGACGAGTGTTTCACGTTCATCAACGCCAATTATTCGCCCAGCAACTGCCTCCAACACCTTGATTCTTTCCGCTGTCCGGGAGGATGCAGTAAGGGCTGCGAGAACATTTATCTTGTTTTGCTTGGCTGCTGGGAACATATGACTGGGGTAGCTGTCAAGAATGGGGAATGCCAGGGGCGCGTGGAAGCTGTTTCATGTTAGACTGAGGTTATCAATCACGTATAAACTGTTACGCTGGCTCTCACCTTTGGAACATCGGGGCCGAATCGTAGTAACGCTGCTTCCGAGAGAGGCCAAGATCCTCTTGAGGAACGGACTCATCGTCCTGGTCAGGGTTGGTTCCACGCCAAACCTGAATCTGGTTGAATATATGTGAGTTGCTACTTCCATGCCTATCATAGGTAAAGTCCAATTCAAATTCTGCCTGAGATTTCACTACTCCCTGTTCCGAGGCACTTGTTTCAGTCACAGGCCCTTTAACAGGTAGGTGCTGTTCGTTGATTCCATTGTCCGCGGTGACGGAGGATTGCAACTCAAAAATCTTGTGAGTGCTGTCATCACCGGCTAAAGAGGACTCGAAGTCATGGAATTGCCGAAGACGGGTTGGAAGTGTAACGCTTTCCATAGCTGAGCTGATAAGTGCAGTGGTATGCCATTCAGACTGCGGGTCGAAATACACTTTGCTTGGGGTGTGGCTGGGCGGATCAATAATTGGAGTATACAGTGATGATTGGGGAGAGATGCTGTATATAGTCCGGGCTTTGTTCATATCCCGTTTAAGTTGAGTTTGCTGAGATAAGGAGCAACATTAGGCATATGGCAGAGATAAGAGAAGAATAACTCACACGAGGCACCTTTGATCCACCTTCAATTGCCCAGACCCAGACAGACTTTTTACCGAATTCATCTCGCAGCCTGTCGACATATCTAGCAGAGAAACCACCCCAAGCATCATCAGAACTTGTGAACAACTGAATTGCACGTAATTGATCACATTCCTCCGCAAATGGTCTCACATCTCTATCAAGAAGATCATGCTCTTTGTCAAGGTCACTAAACAAGTCTTCTCCGACATTCCAATCTTCGAAAGGCATGATCTTGCTGTGCAGCTCATAATCATTCAATTGAACGATCGAGCGGGGGTGATAAAAGAGGCGATTATAGTCAGACCAGTACCGAACTGTTTCGGTTGTGAGTTTGGGAGCAGGGAGCCCTGCATCTAGTTTCTTCTGGTAGTCACTTTGAGAGATCGGTGTCTGTTGTTGTATGACTTCTTTCCCATCCCACAAGCCTTGGCCGAGGTTTGCATCCTCTGTCAATTCATATAGTGCGTTATACTTTCGAAGAGTACCAAAAGCACCTTTTAAATCATATATTACTGTCCTAGGGGTGAAGGTTTCTGTCCCGTCTGCGCCCACACCAGGACGAAAATGAACGTCATGGTCCACAAGAGATTCCTCTTCTCCATTGTAGGTAAAATAGGACTCCTGTTATTACCGAGTCATTAGAGCAGTGCTGGATGGAATGTATATAGGCCATTAATGTGAATGACATATACCTGGAGGTTCCAAAAATGAGTTGCCAAGTAATTGGCCCGCTGCCCTAGTTGAAGGGTAATGATTTCATGCATGCTTAACCAGAAACTTTAGTGCGCACAGTAACATTATTAGCACACACTTTGAACAGATAACTTGATGGCCATAAAGTACATACATGTTGAAGATCCGGTAGAAGCTGGTATTGTATTGATAGATATGAGAACTATTCCAAGTGCGAGTATATCTATCTCCGAGGAAGAAACCCTATACAGATTTAAAAGGAAGTACTGCTAGTAGTATTGCAAGCGATAGAGGCATCAAGAAATGCACGGACCAGGTGGGATCCTCGCTTCCAATTATGGTTTAACGTCACCACATTCCACATGATATCTCTAGACCACGTTCGGCAAAGACTGGTAGTCAAGGGCAACAGTCACATGACATGCCGTGGATGGGTAATAAACAAGCTAAGAGGCGTTGTTGTGGGTGCGTCACCGATAGGGATCAACCGAACACCTCCACAACGATCGATTAACGACGGGACTTGTTTTTCATTAATACTCCTTCTCCCACGGCAGACTGTCATGCCCAACCGGGGAAATCTTTCAGTCTACTAATCGCATAATATATAGTACTGGAGCATGGATTCCCCATCAAGCGTCATGTCTAGCCCCTCAAAGGTATTCAATAATCCTCTGTCAAGCCCAACGAAAGCGCTGAACCCTCTTTCACCGGAGCGCCTGAATCAGCAGGCGTTTCCCAACTCACCAACGTTACCTAATGACGTACGCAATATGCAACGGAAGCCTAGAGGTTTATCGGATGTCCAAGCCAAGGTTGCGTATTTGAACAATTTATCCCGAGGGAACAGTCCAGCAGCGCCATCAACACAGTCATCTGCCGGAAACTCGGCGGCGCTTCAACGTGCCATTCTAGGCCGTGAGGAGGCGGAGTCCGCACTGGCCAATGTTTCTGCTCAACTCTCAGAAGCCCAGTCTCGTGAGCGTCGCATCAGTGAGAGACTCGAATCGTTGCTCGAAGAACTACAAACTGCAAAGACACGACAAGCCCACGAAAGAGCAGTATTTGAGAAGGAAATACGGAAAGCAAGAAAAGAGGCTTTTCGTGCAGGATCTGTATTGGTAAAAGCTCAGGAAGAATTAAAACAGGCGAGATCTGAGGCCAAAGTATTAAAGGATGAGGTCCAGTCAGAGCGAGAAGCGAAAGAAAAGGCGAAGCAGGAGGCGTTCGAGCGTGCGTACACACTCGCGGGTCTGATGGAGGAAATGGAGGTATTGAAAGGACGCTTGCGAACGGCAGAAGCGAACAGCCATGTGGATACTCTAGAAGCACGTGCCCAGGAGATGCACAAAGGAGATGTTGGAAGACTATCACTAGCAGAAGGCGACCTTGCATTCCTCCAAACGCCTACGCCTCGAAGACCGAAACGATCGGCAGAAGAATCCGATGGTACGCCATTGCAAAGCCGTTTCAACCATTCTGTTGCCCAAGACACTCCTCCAAAGAGGCCAAGGGTCTCCGATGTTACACCTCGGAACGAAATCCAGAATTTGGATTCGCCGGAAGCGAAAGGCGACGATATTCACGAATTACAAATAAAGTTAGAATCTGAACGACAGCTGAGGGTCAACGCGGAAGATATGATAGAGTTCCTGAAAGTTGAATGCATGTTCAAACGATGCACTTGTCGTATCGAAGAAGAGCGAGAAAAGAGCCATATTCAAGATACGACACAACATGCAACCAAGAAACCCGCTAGCCCCGGCGAACACATCGACAAAGATGAACATGCAGGCGCCAAACCGCGTGTTGAAAATTTCCCACTTTCTCCCGGTAAAAGTTCTGGTCATTCTATCGAGTCCGCTGAAGAGCCTGAAACAGAAGATCAGCCACAGACAGAGGAAACTACTATAACATTCTCACCCGCCACTGGAACTTTTCATACAATTCCATCTCCTGTCCGAAGGTCACCAACGAAGAAGCTGGAGCATGATATTGTAGAGCTTCCTCAGCTTATCACTGAGAACCAGTCGACCCCCCAACCACAAGTCACTAGCCCACTTGCGAAGTACGACGTACCATGGGACGAGACACCTTTTGAAACAGTCCATGAGATCCAAGCCCGTGCTCCGCTCTCCCCCTCTAAGGTCCGTCCTTCACCCGCTACTAGTGACGTGCCATGGGACTCTGAAGTACCTGAGCAACATCGGTTAGAAGGCAATGTTGATGGGCATGATAGCGTCAGGAGAATACCATTGCGGAATGAAAGCGTGGAACCAGACCACTTGCTCGGCGTCCCGGGAACACCTATTGACCGAGAGGAAGCCCTGGCACAGATCCGGGCAAGGCGGGGCCGAACCAACAATATGAAGAGATCTGTCAGTGCCAACGAAAGTACGTTACGCGCTGGTGGCATGGGTGTGACTCCCGTTAGAGCGGCGCGTCGGATTCCTGCCGTTCAGAATCCAGATGGAAGGTACAGTGAGATACGAAGTCGAAGGGACATGAGTGCGCCAGTCAGGATGTTCCACCGGTAACACTTATCTCACATTACATAGCCTGATAGATGTTTACGACGATTTGGACAGAAGCATTTATTAACTCTGGATAACTTATGATACCCTGGTGCTCCAAGGGGAATGGCGTTCTGGGAGGTTTTATTTATTTCTTTTTTTCCGATAGCAATTTAACGGAGCTCTTAATCACCACTCAGTGTCTTTTGGGTGTTCTGGCTCGCCTTTACGATAATTTCGTCTACATCTCTTCTGCCCGATGGGTTTCGGCATATCCTTTTTGTGACACATGATGATGGGAAGTTTAGAACAAGGAATCTCGACTTCCTTTTATACTTTCTTTTTTGCACCATGCACAGGCATTCCACTCATTTCCTACGATGTTCATTAAACTATTTACTATTTTTCCTTTGTCCACTTGTATATATATCTCGTTTAGAATGTAAATATGTGATTTTCTAAGGTGAATGAAAAAGGTTGACACCATGGGTACCTAAAGGTATGCTGCGGATACTTGAATAGGTCTTCTTAACCTTTAGATGGTATACACGGTGGGCCTGCTCCCTGGCACAGGCTGTGATAATTCCTAACGCAGTGAGAACTCATAAGACCATCCATTTTGCTTAGGATGTACAGCTTAAGCCCTGCGCCAGATGAAATTCCGTTGGCGATATGCGATACACGAACTGATTTTAGTCGGAAACATCTGTTCCAGGCCCTCCAATAAAGACACAGCTCAGCCAATTATACCCATGGCAAAGGTGCCATTCCACTGGTTATGGCGCTCCTACCTGCATGACTGTCAGTTCTCGAACTACTTAGCGCACTTGACCTAGCCTATTATCGGATATCTAATACAAGAATATTATCAAGAGAGCAGGGATTCTTATTATACCCCCAGTTATTCCTAAGCCCGGCTCCGTGGCCTGCTGTATATCCGTCACTAAAACTGGTACTTAACTCCCGGGTCTATCTGAGGTACTTACTACTAGTAGACGCGGCGACTATCCGTCGTGCGCACGCCGTATGCCCTATCAGTGTTGTTGAGGTCAAATTCTCGTTATGGAGCACCGATATCCTCACTAATAAGGCGGCGGACGTTTGCAGGGAGTGGAGTATTCCGATTCTTGCATATGCCTCGTTGGGGTATGGTTTCTTGGCTGATCATGTTCTACTAAGCTGAAGGATATTCGTCGTATCTTTGGTCGGTTTCAGCCACCGGCGAGGTTCCATTTTTTGACATGGAAAGCAACACGCTGGCGAATATCAAGTTTTGCTGACGAGATCGGGGCGGAATTTCTCCAAGAATCTCAATCTTATTGATAAGCTCAGAGTGATCGGCAAGTGTCGAGGTGCCACACCTGCGCAGTTGGATCTGGCGTGGATCCGAGTACCTTCGAGTACTGGTGGTTGTGGTGCGATTATTCCTATACCTGGGGCAGCGGCTGCTCAACGTGTTGAGGAGAATTGTAAGGATACTCATCATGCAGTTGGCGCACGATTTTCGCTTCTTTAATCCGTTTCGTGACCGATTATTGGCTCGTAGGAAGACCGATTTATCCCGTTACACTGAATTGGGCTTACTATCCAAAACTTGTCTATAAATATTACAACTTATCTTAGTCCACGAAATAGCGGATACTGCAGTTGACGTTTGCTAGAAATTATCGAGTTTCTTGAGGCCTCATAGTAGCATTCTCAAAACCTCAACCATATATCAGAGAGATGCTCTGGCTTATATACTTACTCCCCAGGGCCACCACCTTGCCTATGTAATTGCCCTCGCCACGTAAAAGTAAGATACGATCGTGAACCCCGTGTGAACATTGCCCATGATATACGACCTGTAGGATTGGACAACAGTCGAGTTGCAGTGTATCCCCTTGACGAGTAACCCTAGATCAAATTAACAAAGATTACTTTACTAAATATAGCAACTACTAGTAATATACTAGATCAAACCAAGCATCTTTCACTCGATATGGTTTCATGCTGCTTCTTTTATATATTATTTGATCAAGGGCTACTATAAAGTCACGTGACGCTCTATAGGAGGCGCTTCTTGGAAGGTGAATATTCCCTTGAATTATTGCACACCGACATACCAAGTGCGAATTTATACCTAGTACTCTATTTTCTGCTGGCAGCGTTAATCGACCTCTCATTTTGATGGCTGCCCTCATTAGAAGAGTGAATCTTTGCGTCATTGCACAGCGATCTGGTATCACCTAGAGGGTGAGGTGAGATAAATGCAGAGGTTCATGGTGGGACGCTGAAAGATAGCTTCAGATTGGACTGTACGACATGCTAGGTAACTACTCTGGTCAGGAACAGCATCCAGAATACGTCGAGGCAGATAAGAGGACTATACAAAGGAGTTAATTATGAAGCAGCTCTTTGGGGATAATATGGCAATTGCTTCAATCCCGTATATGAATGACTATATACCCTGAATGAATTCAAAGAATGGAAATCCCACAGCATCGTATACGAGCACTGTCCACATATGCCTTGCGATTCCACCAACAGCGGACCAGCTCCTCGACAAAAATACGATCTGCTGCACTCCAGACGTCAAGACCCATCTCAGCCATATCTTCTGTGGTGATCTTGATCGGTTCGTCATCGCTATGTGGAGAGCTGGAAGCCTCCTCTTGAAGTAATGGAGACCTATCATCTTCTTGAGTAGATTGGCGGCCTATGGTGACAGGGGGTTCAAGGTCATCGCCCGGATCGTCTTCGTAAGGAATATGATCATCATCATTAGGCTCCACTTCTTCGTCCGGTGCATTCTGACTGTCGTGTCGAGCGATTGCATCGGATAGGGTGACGAAGATCTGTGTAGTCATACGACGGAAGTATGCCACAATGGCAATTTCAGGAGGTTCGTAAGAGGTATCTGATGGTTGCAAGCTACTACGGCCGACAGATCCTGAAGGCGGGCTAGTTGGATGTTCCACACTCGCTAAAAGCTGTGTATCTTGCTGGATCTGATGTTCTTCCTCCTCCTCTTCTGATAACCCATCACGCTTCTCACCAGCCGATGCCCACCAGATAAAGGAGGTGTACGCTAGCCGGGTCCAAGAGATGGACTCAACGATGGGACTGGATGAATATGTTGACGCAGCATCAGAATCGTCCTCCTCTCCAGGTTGGCCATTGTCGCTCGAGGCAACTTGACGCAAGCCCTTGCGAAGCGTGGCATAGCGGCGCGCATCCCGCTGGGTTGCCTTTAAATGAACAGCTTGAGGTGTGTTGTGCTTCGCGGTTGATGTCGGCAATATGGATATCTTTGGAAACACTTTCTCGGCTGCATCCTTAGAATAAGGTGGAGGTAACGAAACAAGTACATCGAAGAGCTCAGATTTCATGGTTAGCACGCTATCTGTGCTACAGGCAATCCAAGAAGCATCTGGCTGGGCGTTGGCTGGGACACCTGCCAATGAAGAAAGATACGGGATATCATGAATGCCAACGTTGAATAGCGGCCGCGGTCGCAGACTAGGTATACCGGTCGGCGGGAGCAAGGGAACAAGTGAATTAGGTAAGGAAGCTAGCAGAGACAGATCGTATACTACTATATGTCAGCAGAGATGTTAAAAGATAGTAGGATAGGGCTTACCGTAGTTACAAGGCATATAAACGGGTGCCTCGGTCATGAAAAGTATTTTCTTGCGGAGTAATGTTGCTCTATACAATGGGTATATGAGGGGACCAAAACAATCAAGGAATTCAGGAAGGGATGAAGCTGGATGAAATGGCGTCAGGGCCGGCCTGGGCGTTTCCAGCACAATAGCGTCACTAAATGCGCGGTTTCTAAGTGAGTGATCCGGTCGCTCTCCATGCGCCCTCAAGCGAAGGCTGAGAGGAGATTCCAAAGGAGAATCTGGAGGCACGCCGGACAAGTCGCTTTCCCGGATCTCATAAGTTTCCCAGTACTTCAATAGCGGTTCTGTATGAGACATGTCTAGGGCATAGATTCTGCAAGTCAAACAGGTCAGAACAGACGTGAAACGCCGCAGGCAATATAGAAGGGGTTAGCTTACTGCGCCAATTCCCTGAGTTTCGGGGCATGTCGCCAGCTTTTACCTAGCCTTCCAGAGCTCAAGGGTACTAGGACACCAACAGAAAACATCTTCGCATTTCGCTCAGCTTCTTCTGCAGGCTGGTTGATAAAAGCGCTGATACCAGCATATTGTTCGTGTACGAAATACCTAGAACGACTATGAACATGATGATATCGTGAGCGGCATTTTCAAACGTACACTAGGTCTTCTGAAACATTGTGTAGACCAGAGGGTAGTGATTTGTATTCGACAATTCCTTCAACCTCAGCTAGCATTCGATTGAGTTAGCCAAGTTCAAGCGGAGAGAACAACATGGTCGCGAGATTTAAGTATCACTCACCTCCAGGGACTGTACGCTTCCAGGATACCACATAACTACATAGTTCTCTGCGGTCAACACGATGTTGTTAGAATGACCATATCGAACTTACCCAGCCTTGATATCGAAGCGGATCACGAATAAGGCGGCAATGGGAGGCGGCGATTCCCAGACAGGCGTGCGGGGTACATCGACCCCTAAAGGCTTTCTTCTAAAAGGACCGGGTGCCATTGTAGGAACGCGCATAAAAGAAGGAGTTTTCTGACTCCATCAGATGGTCAGAATAATTGTAATCACTGGTGTGGTTGCATTGAGGAGGATGGGGACCTTGGATCCGACCGACCATCGGACGTTGACGATAGCACACAGAGTTGCGGAGATCGAATGGAGCTTGTCGCCGCCTGAGGCAGGTGTCTAGCCAGGCCTGGTTAGTCGGGTGGCAGGCCTTTGTGGTATCTATACTGTACAGCTGATTCAACAACAAAATCAAATATCAAGTGGCTACATAGTACCTCATAAGCAATACACTGAGAAATATATTAGAGGGTAAATATTGGTTGACATACTAGAAGGGACTCCCCAGTCCTGATTGCTATTTTAGATTTAAATCCATTGTCTTGGCAAATCAATATTGTTTTGAGCCGCCTCATATCACGTAAATTGTTTATACCCGTATAAGTTCGCAAAACGCACGACAATATTTCAGGTACGGCTATATCATCAAAAGACTGACTAAAATTTAGTGTTTCCTTCACGATTCTTTCTGAAGATCTATTGCATTCTTACTATCCCATTGATGCCCCAATCACCGGGTACGCTCTCAATGAATTCTCACTCCTCAAGCTCCTCTCTACTGCTAGCACTGGCACTATAACCTTACTTGGTGCAGTCTTCGTACTGAAAAGTGTATTTAGTCTAAATTTGAGCAAAGCAGGTCGAATTGTAATCTTCTGATTTTTCCCGTGTAACATACTCCTCATCATGTCCAGACCCTAGAAAGCCAGCCACGTTAATATACTGTGAGCAT